CCTCCTCCTCCTCCTCCTCCTCCTCCTCCTCCTCCGCCTCCCCGCTCGCTCCGCTCTACGCGACGCGCTCCGCCGCCGCCGCTGCGTGCGAGAGCCGGCGAGCCCCTCTGCCGGGCTTCAGCGGCTCCGCGCCAGCGACAGCAGCAGCGGCAGCGGCGGCAGCACCGACACCGCCCGCCGCCGCCTATCGGGGCGCAGCGCAGCGCCGCCGGCCGCCGCGCACCGCCCGCCCCGCAGCCCGCCCTCCGCCGCCGGGCGCCACCCGCACACCGCACACCGCCCGCCGCGGGCGTCCCGCCGCCCTGCGCCACCGCGGCGGGGCGGGCACGGCTGAGGCGCCGTTTCCCGAGGGGCAGCCAGGGACGAGGGGCCGCCGGCGTCCTATCCCCGAGCGGGCAGGGCCAGCCCTGCGTGCGGCAGGGGCGCTGCGGCCGCGACCTGCCCTCAGCCCCGCAGCCCGCGGGCGCCTCTCCCGGCCGGGGCAGCGGCTGCCGGGTGGAGCCGCTCCCGACGCCGCTCAAAGAAGCGCGTCCAGGGAGACGCGTTCAGGCAGCGGATTTTAAAGTTTAGAACCTGCGTGTGGTGGTCCCGTCCCCGCAAAAAACATCATCACCTCTCCAGCCGCGGGGCGGCACCTGCTGGGTCCCCTGCGGCGGGCGAGCTGGGAGAGCCCGGAGACGCTCGTCTCCACTCCTCGGGGCAGAGCTTGGAGCCCGGAGGAGGCAGGAATCACCAGCGGCTGTTCCCCGCCTCAGGGGTGGGATGGCGGCCGCGGAGAACACCGCTGTGCGAGCGCGGCGCAGCCGTGGGGCCGCGGTGGCGGCTCCCGGCGTGGGCGCGGGGCGAGGCGACACCGTGGAGAGAGAGGAGCAGCTCCGCTCCAGCCTAGTGCCCGCGGCCTGGCTCCCGGTGCGCCGAGCGTGCTGGCATGCAGCAGTGATTAGCATACATTAACGGGCAATTAGCATCTGGTAATAATCGTTCCTGTGTCAGTGACACTCGGATTTGCAGTCCCCGACCTGTGCGCTGAGCCCGAGCTCACAGCGGTGAGCGATGGCACAGCCGGAGCTCGGCGAGGCTCGGCAGAGCTGAACGGTCCGGCTGCCGCGCGGTGCCGGCAGGGGCCGCGCTCAGTTAAATACTGGCGCTCCGCAGCGCCGGGAGGAGCAGGGGAGGAAGGGAAGGAGGGAGAGAGACTCCCGTTGAAATTACTCCTGGCATTCCTTAAAATTTTTCGTCTATTTCAGGCAAAGTTTGATTTCTGTCTCACGACTGCAAGTAAGCAGGCGCAGCCCAATGCAGCGGCACGCCAGCACTTCCCAAGTTTCCAGCAAAGGGGTTTAGGAAGGGGCAGCACCCGCTGACAGTTTTAGGCCCCCCGTGCTCGTGTCGGGGGACAGTGACAGCTTGGAAAGCTGTGAGCAAAGAGCAGGGGTACGAGGGGAGCTGTTTCCATGCAGTCAGGCTGTGGGAGCGCTGCCCTCGGAGGGTAGTGGGGTGGCACATGTGGCGTGGGTACACTTAGACGTAGGCAGCATAGGCAGCGTGGACCCCAAATACTCACACTTGCCTCTTTTATAGGCAAGTGGGTCCAAGCATGCAAAGTACAGATAAAATTGCTGGCGATTTGGTTCCACTGAGTGTGCTCTGTCCAGTGCTGGTGGAGGTGCCCACGAATGCTCTGCTGCATGTCATGCTCCTGCTGCAGCTGCTGCACGTGACTGGACTGCTCATATGTGGCCTTCAGGGAATAACTGAACTTGTTCCAGCCTCAAGCACCAGGAGGAGTGGTGTTCTTCTGTACTCAGTTCTGTTTTCTTCAGGCTGAGGCTAGCTGGGCCCCAGGGCTCTCTGTACAGAGTGCCTCTCTTCCCTGACCTCTAAAAAGCCGTGGAGCATGGAGATGGAGACAATACAAGCCAGACACAGAAGGCAGGAGGAGGCCTGAAGTGGCCTAAGACAATTTAGGAATGGAGGTCGGGGGGAGGGCTGGACAAGAAGTTCTGAGAGATCTAAAAGAGAGGAGGTAGTTGGGAAGGAATTTGGGCTAAATAGGAGGTTTAAGGGGTAATGGATCTGTACATGTGCACACATCCAAGAAATATTAACCTGGGAAATGGTATCACAGGAGGAAGAGATACGGACTTGGGAAGGAGCCGGGAGAGGAGAAATAATTTGTTTGTAGAAGAAATGGGCCAATGAAGCTGAGGAGGACAAAATACTAAGACTGGAAAAGAAGCCGGGGAGCAAGGCTCAGACCCTAGGGATAGGTAAATGTGGAGTCAGTCTGGGCAAGAAAAGGAAAGGCCAGAAGGAGGGGAAGAAACTAGGATTCTGATAACAAACTGTGTAAAGCAGTGTGAGAAACAAGACCTGTGACAATATTTTGGTTGTTCTAGTATATCCTCACTGGTCACTGGCACCAAAAGAGCACAGATTTCATGTGGGCTCTAGGTGATACCCATGAGTCCTTCAGTTTACTGCATTGAAAATGGGGAAGAGGCATTGAAAATGGGGAAGTGATACTAGACATCTGTTTTTTGGGGCATCTGAATCACTCTGATTGTGTTCCTCTCTAGAGCTTTGAATCCTCTAGTCTCAGTTTTTGGTATGGAAGTTTCTTGGGAATACCTGAAGACAGATTCTGGAGGTATTTTTATGGTTCTTACCACAATTATACATGTGCTTCACTGCATTAAAAAATACAGTGTCTCCATGGAATAGAAGGTTGGCATATTCTGGACAGAAGAGTTAAAAGGCAGCTGACACCTCATTTCTCAGAGCAGAGCTCCCATGGATTTTGGTTGCAGCAGTTCAGAAAATGAGGCCTCAGAAGGAGTCATACTGATATGCTGCTCATCTATAAAAAGTTTGAGCATCTTGCCTAGCATCACAGAAGAATTCTGTGGCAGAAGCAGGGATAGGCCCCAGCTCTTCAGAACATCTTTCATCATCTTAATCCTCAGATTTTCCTTTCTCTCCAACAACCCTGTTGTACCGTTGTATCTCCACTGTTTTTCTCCCCCAGAATCAGCTGGTCCCAGCCCTGTGGTTGTCACCTTGTCTCATCCAAAAAAGTCAGAGTCTTAAGCTAGGATTTTCACCAAAAGCTTCTTCAACAGGTGAAACAGGATTCTCATCATCCTGATCTTTCTGGACAGCAGCTGTTGTCTCCCGCACCTGATAAGGCAGGATCCTGTTTACCAATTAGCATGTGAGCGTGCAATGCAAAACAAAGAGGATGTAAATGAAGTGGCAGAGACAGCTCTTTTTTTGGCACATCCTCTTCAGTACTGAATTCTCCAACCATAATATTGTTTTTAACAACGTTTGTGTGTGTGTGTGTGTGGTTAAAAATAGACAGGTTCAAAAAGAATTTATATAACCTTTAAAAGTACAGTTGTGTACTAGATTGGCCTAGACCATACTGCTGATCTTTTTTTTCTGACCACAAAGGTGCTAATTTTTTGTATATATATATATATCATTACACAAAACACAAAATAAAAGCTTGTTATTTGGTTAATGGTTCTAATCACAACATTTCTGTTTGGAACTTGTCAATTATTTACAGTGGTGGAGCAGTGTTTGAGAACTGCTTATATATTTAGTTTGGGGGGAGAGGCTGTGTGTTGTGCCAGGAAACACTTGGATACTGTGGGTAAGAAGAACAGATGAATTCAGTTGCTGGGCTGTGGGCAATATCTAGCAAGAAATGCACATCTGGGAATTCATTGATATTCGCGTGGTGGGAAATTAGGAGCAAGACAGAGGGGGGAAGGAGTGAATGGTTGGAGAAGAGTTTTTGAGAAAGAAGACTTACGTAAAAAAGAAAGAAGCTTGTGAGAAGGGAATGGGGTAGTAGGAAGTTATGTGTTAATGAATAAATACTAATAAAGGTGTCTGACAATGAATGATAAGTTTTGGTGACAGTTGAGGGAACTGGGAAAAACTGTTCAACACATAAAAACAAGCTCACACAGGCAAAGGCAAACTTCTATGGGAGGGAGATGCCCCTGCTCAGACACATGACTGTCTCTTGCCAATGCCTCTGAGCACTTTCTCCCATACAACCCTCTTAAGACACTGCTCTGCCTCAGAGGCTTTTTTTTTTTTTTTTCCTGGCAGACAGAGGGGTCTAGGCTGTCAGGAGGTTCTTCATATCTATTGCTGTGTGAAGGGTACATGAACTGCTCCACTTCCCTGAGACTTTCCTCCCAGCTTTCTGTGGTGTCACTCACATGTATATGGGGCATCCAAAACAGAAGCTGAAAAAGCAAAAGGGCTCTTCTCTGCTCCGTTTTCCAGCATTCAGTGTGAGCTGGGGCTCAGAAAATGCTAAAGGCCAAGTAGGATTTTTTGTGCCATTTCACTGATGATTGAGATAACCTGTGCATATTTTAGGCTTGATTACAGCCTAAGTGCTGGTAGGCAGCATCTTAAGGAGTGCATCAATCCAGATGAATTTTTCCCTTGTCCTGTCTGGAGCTGGCTGCAAACAGTCCCTGGTGTGCTTGCCCAGAGCAGCAGGGTGATTGCCTTTAAGCAGCCCCAATGTGCAGCCCCAGTGTGCAGCTCTGTCACCATGGCAACCCACAGCTTCACCACTGGTAAGCACTTGCTGTCTATCAAAAAGCATTAACTTTTACATTATGTCTTTTTTTTAATTATAGTTTCTGCACATTTTGGCTTTCTTTTCTCCTGGGATTCAGCTGCACTGGTGAAATGTTCCTTCTTGTGTAGTAGGAAAGGGCATTTCTTTCTATTTCTGTTGTGTTAACGACCGTGGGAGAGGCACAGCAAAGGGCTGGCTAGAATTGCTGTTACCAGTGTCACTGAAACTGCTGCTGCAGTCACTGTTTCAGCCAGAAATGGTCCAATTTAGACCTACTTTAAAAATTAGGGAGTGAGCAACTTAGAAGATTTGCCCCATTCCTCTTCAATTTAGTCCTGCTGTTG